GCTTAAGACATGATTGGTTCTCTTTAACATGCCACCAAAGCTGTTCCACTAGGAGTATATTGGGCAAAATTTTGGAAAGGCAGACCTTTGGCCTATATATATATACTGAAGAAGGAATCAATAACTTTCTGTGGGTGTCCAAAGGAAACTGGTAACACACCAGAACACACACTGATCATGTGTGCCTTGTAATGTAAAAGCAGGAAACAAAGCAGAATCTAGTGTTGTGGAACAATTTAGCCTAGGGGTCAAAATGAAGCCAGATAACATCTTAAAGAATTCTGCAAAGCCGGTCATCTGCTTATTGAAAATACATCAGGCAACTGATCAATGACTGTACACATGTATATCACCAGATGCTCAGTATTGAAAGCAAATAAATTCAATATATAAATAAACCCCATAACTGGAAATAGGAAATGGAGAAGCTCTGTTTCTTGCTCCCAAAACAAAACTAGGAGCAGAATGCAGTAGTGACAACTAACTACTTAATATCAAAAATTAGGAGTAAAAAGATCACTAACAGAAGCAAAAGGTTCAAAGTACAACTTCAGTAACATTCCTAAGGAATTTGAAGTCCACATAAAGGACAGATTTGCAATACTGAACTCAATTTGCCATGAACCAGAAGAACTATAAACAAACAAGAGACTGCCAAAATGCCAAAAAAATAATTCCTGTAGCAAAAAGAAAAAGCCTAGCTGAATGACAGAAGAAACACTGGCCCCCTGTTGAAAAAGTTTGAGGACCCCTGCCTTACAAGAATAAGCCAGCAAATATGAAAGCGATGGCCTAGAAATGTTAACTGTTCAATACACATTCCATTTCCAGAGAAAATTGATGCCAAGGAATGCAGCAGCCATAGCGCTACTGCAAAGTGATGCTTACTGAGTTACAACAAAGAAAGCAAGAAATGCCTGACATTCAAGCTGAATTCTGTAAAAGGAGAGGCACTCAAGATGGTATCACAAATATACATTGGCTATGGAGCACACCAAAGAATTTCAGGAGATGCTTTATAAACTACAGCAAAACTTTTGACTGCATTTATCTTGAAAAGGTGTGAATGATTCAGAAAGAAATGGGTGTGCCTCAGCACTTTCCCTGATGCATAAGCTGTACTGTGGACAAGAAGCTACTGTTAGGACAGAAAGAGAAACAGAATGGCTTCCTATAGGCTAAGGTATCAGACAAAGGTGTATTTTATCTCCCTATCAGTTTATTCTGTGTGCAGAACTTAAAAAGCCACAATAGGATCAGACAAAGGAGTAAAAACTGGCAGATGATGCAACAATAATTTAAGATAAGCAGATGATACCATACTGGCAGAAAGCAATGATTTGAAATTGTTCCTGAGTGCAAAAAGCAGGACTACAGCTAAGCATTGAGAAAGCAGAAATCATGACTACAGAAGAATTACACAATTGTAGTGTCAGCAATGAAGAAATTGAAATTGTGAAAGATCTTGCATACCTAAGCTCAGTCATCAACTGAAATGGAAACTATAGCGAAGAACTTAAAGAAAGCTGAAACTTGGAAGGCAGCAATGGAGGAACTAGAAAAAATCTCGAAAACTAGAAATAAAGACACTTCATTGGAAACCAAGGCCAAGATCATCCACACTATTGTATTTTTGATCACTATGGATGTGAAAGTTGAACAATGAAAAAAGCTAAGGGGAAGAAACTTGATGCATTCAAAACATAGTGCTGGAAGAGAGCTCTGAAAATATACTTCTGGATTATAGGAACGGAACAACTTAGTATGCACTGGTCAGCTGATACTGAAATAGATAAGTCTCTGATCAGACCTGGACAATTAACAACAAAGGTTTAAAATATCTGGTTATGTTTCACTTGCATCAGCAAGATGAGCTAGGAAAATTTAATTGCATTGATGCTCTTCGATGATAAAGAACTACAGTTGAACCTCAACTTTCATGGGTTTTACTTAAATGGTTTTGATTATTTTTGAGTTTGCCATCAATAACTGAGATTTTTAAAAGTTTTGCAGCCTACTGCTCTACAGACACCTGCCTGGGGAATGGTTGCTGGTGAGGGCCAGGCATTGTGTGAGGCTCATGATGCAATGCAGGACAAGCTCCCTGGAGTGGGCTGTGCTCTGGCACATTGGGTCTTCTAAGGTTATTCAAATTGCAAAAGAGGTTATTGTAATGCAACTACCAGTACATGTATGGTCAACACTATTAAAAGTTAAGGTTTGCAGGAGAGGTAGACATATTTGCAGTTTTTCCACTTTCACAGGGTTCCTGCACCCCAGGTCCCACTAATGTGGATGGCCAACTGTATTTACCCGAATGTAAATACACTTGACCTATATTCCCCAAATATATTTCCACAATTCAGTCATTTTGTTAAACTGATAAAAGTTCAGATGCTGGAAAAAATGGTGCCTTGTTTGATGCAAGTGTTGGAAAAACAAATGTTTTGCAAAACAGAAATATAAAAATCGAAAGGAGAGACACAAATGTAAACAAAGTAAACAAAGAGGGAAGAAATTGTAAGTCCTGAGTACTAGTTTAGAAAGTTTTATTGTTGTCCTACGTGTTCTAGAAGTAATCTTCAGGGGCTATAAAGGTGCAAACATGGACAAATGTGAATTAGTGTAACAATCAAAGTATAAATATACACTAAGTTTATGTTGCTCCAAAATATGTGAAAAAACTAAAAACAGGACAAAACTCTGTATTCATATAAATCCTACCAGTTTTGTCAATAATTGTATTTATAAAATTATCTTAAATGCTTTTTATTATACCATATATATTTAAATCCTATAAATAGTAGAATGTAATGAATTTATCGAAACCATTAGTAGCTGCTACCATATTTGGATTTTCCATATTGATACATAGTCCCAAAGCTCAAGGCCTAGAAGACTTCTGAATTAATGCAGTCATGTTGATTGTTATTCCGAGTAATTTTGGTTACATAACATTTAAATAGATTTGAAGCCAAAGTGTATTCAAGACTGACCTAAGTCTGCTTTACATGCTGCAAGAACCATTGCTTCAAGCTTCCATACCTGCACAATTTCAATGATAGAACATGCATAAGGTAATTTTACTTTGGAGAGTTAACAGCACTACACTTGAGTAATAGTAGTATTTAATTATTACATAAGAAACTTAAAAATATTTGTACATTTGAAAAATGTGAAGAATTTAACCAAGTCAGTAACAGAATGAAAACTTTCTAAGATTAGGTTTTGTGCCAATTACCCCACCAAAACCTGCTTTTTTCTTAAGCATCCTTCAATTTTTGGAGTTTTCATCTATAGAGTTTTCACAGTTGTTATATTTTTATAAACCAGTTCTTAAAGAATACAAGCAGGTAATGCCAGATTCTACTTTTGAGGAGTTACTAACCACTAATTAAGCGTTAACAGATGAATACACCCCTATTATTTTCATTTTAATGGAACAGAACTGTTTAAGCTTGTCCTGAAGAAACTGGCTGCACTGAGATATAACATTAGGCTGTTATTTAACATTACATGAATGAACCACAAGCTCAGACACTCCTTGCTGTCCTCTGATGTGGCCATAAAGCTTTTACTTCTGTTTGTAACTAAACAGTTACTGTATAGCATGAGCTTTGCAAGAATGACAAAATTAAGATTCAACAGTGCTATGATTGTTTCCAGTGTCAAAAACAAAGAGTTTCTTGAAGCTATGCCAAGGCCTTATAGCCTTCAGCTTCTGAGAAAAAAGCACAGAAGAAATGGCTTTTCAATCATTCTGTAAGCAAGGACTGATTTTGGTGCGAGAACAAAACTGTTTGCAGCTTCACCCCTCTTTCTTGGGAAGTGGTAATACTGACTCTAAAACAGTAAGAAAAGAACTTGAACACATTCTTGGCAAAGAGGTGTTCAACTTTTGTTCCTAGCCTGGGGAGAGAAACTGAATTTTGTTCAAACAGGAAACTTTCTGCAGAGTCATCCCTGGCTTATTCAGAAACTATGGCTGCAAAAAGGGGAAGTGTAAGCCATCTTTCACTTGTTCATGTTTATTGTACATCCAGTTATCATTGCTGTATCCACTAAGCTCTGTATCTTTTATTCTGGGTTTTAGGGTTTGGTTAGACAGCTTCTTTGCAAGAGTGGGAAAAAAGCACACACCATTCTTTGATCTATCTCCAGTCCCACTTGTCAGTGATTACCAATGCCTAAATGGCACTTTGGATTGTCACTCGTTCACCACTAAAACAAAAAAACCCCCAAACCTTCAGGAATCTACAAATATAGCTGCTGTTATTATTCCCCCTTCTTTTACAAGAGCACATGTAAGCCTGTCCGATGTATCCCTCTTCCTTAATTTTCTTTGTTTCAGCTATTTATGGGAATGTGAGTGAGATAAGTAGGTTCTCCTCATCCTAAAATGCAGTAATCCCATCAGTAACTGCTTCAAGAAGCAGCTACAAAAAGTATGTGGGGAGGAAATCAGCATCTCCCCTTTTTGAACTTGTTAGATATTCACAGAAGTGTTGAGTTAGAATTCACTGAAAAGCAGCACTTCAATTATTTGCATGGTGACTCAGCATGTTGTGTGGGCCCAGCCACTGTGTTTAATCTTAACTATGGTTTAGAGAAGACACGCACAACTGAGGGGGTGGCTAAATTGTAAAAGTGGCTTGGCATTTGGCAATGGGGGTGTCAGGCCCTCCCATGCAGGGCAAAAGAGGAAAGACCTTGGTGGATCACAGGGTGTACATCCTTGTTTAAAGATATAAGCTCATTTCAAATTATGTTTACCATAGCTAAAGCAAAAAGAGGTCAGGAAGAATAAAAGTACCATGAAAACAACACATCTATAGACGCTTGACAAACCAGTTATGGTTCAATTGTAACAGAGCAATTAGGGAAGATGACAAAAATATGCCTATCGTCTTAGCTGTTTTGGATTTTGACTTATAAAGAACTGAAATACACTCTCCTGGCAAAAGGAACATTCTTCTTAAGAATATGACACTGCAACCATGTGACACTTCTCATTTATTGAACTTTAATTTCCATGATATACCATAAATAGTTTTTTAAAAACTGTTCATATGATACAGCTTTTGAAATAAAGTATATCAGAACAGACAGACAAAATGAAGAAACCCAAGCCTAATGTTCTCAACTAACTAGAGAATGCCAAGGGGAGCTCATGGTTTCAAACTGGATTGGGAATTTCACAATAGACCAGTGTTCACTGCTGTGGCATTTCAAGCAAAATACTTGCATACAAATTATGTAGTCTAAATGCATTCCATTTTTGTGGCTGAAACCATTTGGCTATTACATAAAAGGGAAAGATTACCATGAACATATTTCAACTCCACATGGGAATATTTTTCTTGAGTATTCAAATATCAGGGAGGACTTCTAGGATAGAAGTGTTGATTCTTCTTCTGCCAAAATACTCTATCCCATCTGATTTGTAAAAATGATATTTCTGTGTATTGGAAGGAGTTTACTTTCTCTGATGAGAAAGCAGCTATTGTTTAAAAAAGTAAAATTACCATACTATGTGTCCTGTAAGCTTTTAATGCATATAGGGATATAATGTATTAACATTTAGACTTCTTTTCCAATGCATGACTGTGTAAACTGGGGTATTTATAAACACTGCAAAGAAACTCACCATTCATCTTAACAATTAACAACATGTATTACTAACCCAACTGAGTAAAAGAAATTGCTAGCAAAGGCTAACTATGCATTTAGCTGTGCCTGATGCAATCATACAAAAGCACAGAACTGAACTTCACTTGTGCGAATGAGAAGTTCCTCTGGAAGGAATCTTTATTTGTTTAGCTGGACGAATAGATCTTCCCAACTTTGCATAGAAATTATCAGCTATGACTCGCCTCTAGATGAGGTTCAGAGCCAAAACTTCAAAAATGCACTTGAGTGCCACTCTAAGCAAGTCAGGATTAAAAGTTCACCCTGCTGTTTTACTGTTTCCTGCAGACACCACTCCCTTTCGTAGAAGTTTCAAGTGCACCATCTGTAGTAGCAATGTACTGTGATCAAATGCTACTCATTTACCCGTGTATAGCTGTATGCCTCTTAAAACCTTCAATATAGATAAGTGGCGCTAACAGGAAACAGTTTAAACAGCAGGGCTTAACCTCAGCAGCCACTCTGAGTGATATCTTTCCCTGAAGACTTTGTAATGTCCATTGTAGTGAAGACCTGTGGAAGAATAAAACAAGTGAATTTTAGCAATGCTTTACAAGAATGTAAACTTCATTCAACAAGATTGTAATATAAGTGGGACTAAAACCCTAAAACTAAGCATTCTCTTAAGGTTATTATTAACTTCTACTTTGTAAGAAAAAATGGGCACAGTGGTTCTTCTAGCACTTAAAATAGTACATTGTTTTCTACTGGGTGACATTGTGGATAGGCAGATTGTGATTCTTTGGAGGCACAAGTCCTGTGAAGAGAACAACCCTCTCAAGGCCTGCCTGAAAGACTGCCTGCTTGCAGACTGAAGAACAGCTCCCAACTGGAGATACAGTGCAAGCCAGAAGCCGGACCCAAGGCAGACGGGAAGACTACAGGCTTGAGAAGCAGCCCTATACTCTCAGCAAGGGTGGGACGGCTGCCTTCACCACCTTGCCAGGTTCTCTTCCTTCTGGCTTAGCCTCTCCACCAGCCTCCTTGTCAGCCTTTTTCTAGTGTTTTGGAGAGTATTGCCATCAGATAACAGCTATATTCTCATTTTCCTCTTCAGCAGGTGAGTCTGTATATATGCTAACCTGGTGCTTGGCTGTGACAATGGGTAAGATGAGGTCCAACAATCTGAAGCTCAATCCAGACAAGACTGAGATGCTGATGGTACATGGTTCTTCCAACTGGATGGAAGGTGTTCATCCTGTTAATAGGGTTGCATTCCCCCTGGAGGATGTTCGTAGCTTGAAGGTGCTCCTTGATCCATCTTTTTACTTGAGACTCAGGTGACATCAATGGCTCAGAGTGCTTTCTACCACCTTCAGCTAGTATCCCAGCTGCACCCCTATCTGGACAGATTACACTCTGATAATCTCTAAATTAGATTACTGCAATGCATTCTACATACAGCTGCCCTTGAAGATGGTTCAAAAGTTGCAGCTTGTGTAGAATGTAGTTGCGAGATTAATAACTAGGACCCATGGGTCTGAACATATACAATCTGTTTTGGCTCACTTGCACTGGCTGCTTGTATGCTTCCAGGCCCAATTCAAGGCACGGATTCTAACCTATAGAGATTCAGGACTGCAATACCTGCTGGAGCACCTCTCCCTCTCTCAACTTTGATCTACACTATGGGAAACTTTTGAGGCTTTTCTCTGAGTGTCAACTCCAAGGGAGGGTTGGAGGGTGGCAACAAGGGGGGGGGGGCTTTCTGGGTGATCATCCCATCTATGGAATATCCTCACTGGGGTCCATCTGGCATCAAACCTGTCATCTTTTCAGGTTAAGATAGCCCTTTGTGCTGAAACTTCTAAAGACATACTCAGCTACCCAGTGGCATATGGGAACTACCCATCTTAGGAGATAATATTTTTCTTTCACAGGTCAGTCTTACTTTTTACTTTAGCTATTTTAAATTTATTTTAATGTGTTTGTATGAGAGTTGTATTTTATTGTTGTGGGTTCATACACTGTTGTAAATCACCCAGACATCTTTGGCTGTGGGGCAGAACAAAATTTAATAGTAGTAATAATAGATATGCTTCTTGTTTAAGACTAAGGCACACTGAATAGTGCCTTGACTCCTAGGCATCATGTATTCCAGCAGCCTGAAATGAGCACAGCTGCAAAGCACTGTAGCTCTAGACAAGACTAATGAGGAAGTAGAAAGAAAAGGAAAATGAGTGCTGCAACACATCAGGGAAACAGCACAAGGCGTGGCTGCTTGTGTGATTAAAGGGAGATCTTAGGAGATAGCCATGGTGAAGAAGAGGAAACACAGCTCAAGGTGCAGCGAGGTAGGTAGCATACGTTTCATATTTACATAGGAATATTATTAATTACTCTTACCTCTGCACAAGTTGGATGTATACCAATTGTTTCATTAAGTAATTCCTTCGTGATGCCACACTTTATTGCTGCTGCAAATCCCTGGGTAATTTCCCCAGCATTAGGCCCAAGAACATGAAATCCTATCACACGGTTCTTTAATAAGGTAGAAATAAGATATGAGAATTAAGTGCATTAGTAGTTCCCTTCCAGTGTAGGTAGTTGCTGACTGCCTGCAAATTCTGATATTCTGAACAAAGGGTCAGTTTCATACAAAATAGTGACAGTAATCAAAATCAACATCATGTTTGTTTCACTCTTTTATATTGCTTCCGCATTAATGTATGTGAGTTACTTAGAGAACTACTACACCAAAATACTTAGAATGAATTAATGGTGTGCCTGTTAAAGTATTTTCTTCCCAGAAAAATTCAACATTCACAGCCAATGTTCTGTTTGAAGAGCTGGGAAGCAACAGCTGATATAAAAATCTACTGAATAACAACACTTCCAGATTTTTTAAAAAATCTCTATGTGGTTTGCATCTGGCAACAGATCTAAATTTAAAGTTATTGCCTGGTACACCATGGAACACTGAGAAGGGCTAATCAGCATAGAACTGTGTATGGGTTGTCATCCTTTTCACAATTAAAATAGATGAAAAAAAGGAGGGAGCAAAATGTCTCAACTCCACTAAAGAAGAGAAAGCATGGAAGACCATCCATACTACAGAAAAGTGATAGCTTCATCATAAAGCTATGATCTGCCCCCCATTCTGCTTCAAATGTAACAGCGGGACTTCCTGCAGAATCTGTGTGAGTGTGTGCATGCATATATGGAAATACAAAGTATGCGTATGGCACTGCAGTCGTATTTTAACTGAGTATGCCAGGGGTCTCAAACTCGCGGCCCGCGGGCCAATTGCTGGGCTGGGCGGGCCCGGGGGAGGGGCCCTGCAGCCTTCAAAGCGCCGTGGGACAAGCAGCCCACCACCACCGCGGGGGTGGAACACTTGATGCGGCCCAGCCTCACCCAGACTCTACTTTCAGCAGCCCCCAGGTAAGTTGAGCTTGAGACCCCTGGAGTATGCGATTAGACTACCGTTTGTGGTTACATGCTGGTGAGGGAGAGATGACTCTATTCCTTTGTCCCAATTATTGCATCAGTGTAGTTTCAACTGAAAGCCACAGAGGTTTAGTTCCTTTGTGGCTTCAATAAACAGCCAGAGAATGGGAAGCCACCAAATGCTTTTAGTTAAATTTTAAAGTAAAACAGCCAATAAAGTTCCAGGCTTCAAAGAAGTGGAGCTTGGCTCATGGTACACTGCTACTAGATGTGATATTCACCAATTCCCGTCATCTGCCCCCCACCCCCCGCACACGTGTGGGTGACTTTTATATGCCACCTGACTTTTACACTGTGAAAATATGAACCCCATCATGCAAGAGTGTTTTAGAGCAGAATACATACTTTGTCAAGCTTATTGCAGATGACTTTTGCATAACAAGTGTTGTTGTCTCTGCTGGGTATTGTCCATTCAAGTGGCCAGAACAAAGTATGATATACCTAAAAGAGAAAGTTGGAATTTTAAAGTTGGTGTTCCCTTTATGCATTTTCTGTGCCTTCAACAAGGTGGATAATTACTGCCTGAAGTGAGAAGTCTATGTGGAGAACTGAATAATGGACAGGGCAAAGTAAAAGCATTTTATCCTCACAAAAAAAGCATGCTGTTATAATGATCTCCAACCAGCCAAAAATGGGGATTAAGAATTACATACATTCATGCTGCAAAGGAGTATTACAGACAGAACAGTGCAAATATTAACTCTCAGCAAGTCACAGTTAGGAAAAAGTATTCTTTGGTGAGCCTGACTCCCCATTCACCAGTGAAAACTTCAGGGCAGGAAGAGACAGGATATGGTGGTACAGGTGTACTCACGCACCACACTGACACGCTTTAAGACTTTAATCTCACCTCTATATTTTCTTGTCCAAGTTGTTCAACAGCGCGTTCTTCTGGTAATCCACAACATCCATATTCCAGAGGTGTAAACACTGTAGTTGGGACATTGATGTAATCACACTAAAATTGAAAACATAAAAAGTAACTCAAAAATGACGGAAAAAGCAATGCTATGCAATGAAAATTGTTTCATCCAACCACAACAGGCAGTACTTTACACTTTAGCAGCCAATGCAGACAAAACACTTTCTCAAGGGGCACAGGTACATTAGTAGGTATGTTTATACAACTGAAACAGCCACGAGGATGATGGACAATGATACAATCACTTGGCCACCTTTCCAACTCTACTTCCTCAATAACTGTGTATCACGTCTAAACCTTATTAGAAGTCATCAATGCCATCAGAAGCAATGGCTGTTGTGGCACCTGGGCAGGGGGTCAGAAATTGTGGTCAGAACACCAATTGTGCTTTCCATCTATAATATTAAACTCAATCCTACAAGCAGGTGAATTGGGCAAAAGCTTATTAGCTTTTCGTTAGCTTGCTCTATAAAATGACTTTATATAACTAGGCAGTTTAAGAAAGATACAGAACATTTTGTCCAAATGGAAAAATCAACTACCAATGTCACTAAAAATTACCAATTTACCTTTATTGAGCTCCCTCCAAAAAGTCTGCGGGCTAACAGCTTGCCTGCCTGTATGGCAACTGGTGTAAGTTCAAGCTTTCCTTCCAAAATATCGCCAACAGCATAGACATAAGGCACAATGGTTTGTTCTTCATCATTCACAGGTATTTTCCCATTCCTTGTTATGGAAGAAAGAAGTTAGCATCCCAACATCATAACTTCATTATTTGATTACATTTCCCAATCATGTTAGGTCAAAGAACATCATCATAACAGGGATCTGTAAGCCTTTGGAACTCAAAGAGCTAACTTTTCATCTTATATTCAAATACTCTCAACTCACCTGGAAAATATCAGGGTGAGAAAGGTTGCTGTAGGAACATAATCTTATAGTATTAGCCTATGACAGATAAAACTAATTCAGAGAAGTGGTATCTCCTACATAGTTCGTTATGCCAATAAAATCAGTGAAACAAGAGACTGAACCAGGTCTCTTGAACTGAAAGAAACTGCATCTTAACAACTGACAATATTAAAATGTAAGCATTTCAAGGTATCCAGTTTCATCCTTAAAAGGTGTACAACTTTTAGTTCACCATTTTCAGTTATGTGCTGCAGTCATCTCTGGCTCATTCATATGGCGACCCCATGAAAGAAAGCCCTCCAAAAAGTCCTGCCCACAACAGCCCCACTCAGCTCTTCTAAGTTCAATGTGGTGGCTTCCTTCCATCTCATGTTTGATTTTCCTTTGTTTCTTCTGCCTTCAACTTTTCCTTGCATGATGGTTTCTCCATTGAGTCTTGCCTTCTCATGATATGTCTGAAGTATGACAGCCTCAGCTTTGTCATTTCTGCTTCAAGTAAAGCTCTGGCTTGTTTGGACTAGGACCCACTTGATCCTCTTTCTGTCTACAGTATTTGCAAAGCTCTCATCCACCACCATGTTTTGAACAATTTTCTTCCTGTCAGCTTTCTTCACCGTCTGGCTTTCGCACAATCTGACTGGGAATACAATTGTATAGTTGAGCTTGGCATTGGTCTCCATCTTTTCTAGTTCCTTCACAGCTGCTCTTCCAAGTCTCAGTCTTCTTCAAATTTCTTGGCTGCAATCTCCTTTTGAATGGATGAAATACGGAACATCTTCCATAACTTTGATTTCTTCATTATTAATAATAAAGTTTTGTAATTCTGTGGTCATTTTTGTTTTCTTAATATTCAGCTGCAGCCCTTGCTTTTGCACTTTCTTCTTTCACATTTATCAGGAGACGTGTCAAGTCACTGCTGCTTTCTGCCACCGATATGGTGTCATCTGCATTATTATTAATGTGTCTTCCACCAATTTTCACTCCTTCCTCCAATTCTAATCCAGCTTTCCTTATATGTTCTGTATACATATTGCACAGATAGCAAGATAAAATATTGTCTGACACTTTTGCCTATGGGAAACCATTCTGTTTCTCCATATTCTGTCCTTATAGTCGCTTCCTGTTCATGATACAGGCTGCTCATGAAAATTATCAAGTACTGCAGCACACCCATTTCTTTCAGGACCATCTATAGCTTTCTGTGATCCACAGAGTCAAAGGCTTTGCTTTAGTCTATAAAACACAGACTGATCTTTTCCCCAAAATTCTTTGGTGTGCTCCAATAGTATATTTGCAATATATTCTCTAGTGCCACTTCCTTTCTGGAATCCAGCTTGGGCATCTGGAATTTCTCACTCCACACAGGGAGTAGTCTTTGTTGCAACATTTCGGGCATCATTTTGCTTGTGCAGAAAATTAATGCAATGGTCCTATGGCTGCTGCATTCCTTTGCATCTCCTTGCTTGAGGACTGGAATGTCTATCAAATGATTCCACTCTGTAGACTATTGTTTTGTTTTTCATATTTGTTAGTGTATTCTTGCTAAGATTTGGACAGATTCATTTTCTGCAGGTTGGAATAGTACTATTGGTATCCTACCCACTCCTGGTACTTTATTCTTTGCAAGTACTTTCAGAGCAATTTTCACTTCACTTTTAATGTTGCAGCCTTTTCCTTTATAGGCTTCCTCTTTGAAGAAGTCTGTCATTCTTTCATCTCTGCAGTTCTGTCTTTTCTTGCCACCTTCTCTTTATTTTCTTCTGGTCAGATAGTATGTTCTCTTGTTTGTCTTTTAGCATTCCTAATCTAGGGTTTGAATTTCCATTTGATTTCTTGGATCTTCTGGAGTAAGGTCTCTTGTTTTTCCCTACTTTGTTGTTCTTAGCTATTCTTTGAACTGGTTCTTTTTGTTTCTATGTGTTAATTGCTGAAAAACTGCATTCACATTTCTGGCCCTATTTCTTTCACCTTTTGCTTTTGTTTCTGACAAAAGTGTACATCATGTTACTATTTATGCAGCGTTCCAGGCAAGTTTCAGTAAGTCAGAAACAGACTGAAGAATTGAAATACTTACTTTTCATTAATTTTCACACCAATTTTGTCTAAGCCAATATTTTTCGTACAAGCATCACGACCAACAGCTATCAAAACCTGCACAGAATAAATAATGGCAGACTTGAACAGACCAGAAAGTCACCTTTGAGCTCTAGACATTACTATTTTATGAATAGTTTAAAAAGTGTATGTAGCAGGAATCCAAAATGTGACCCTGCAGATGCTGTCCAACTGTGACTTTCCTTGCCATTTGAGATGCTGGACAGAACTGATGTAAGCTGCAAATCTGACAGTATCTGCAGGGCCACATGTTTCCAGTCATGATTTAGAGCCATGATTTCAAAATCTCATCTTTCATTGGCCAACTCTTTAACACTATCATGACTCAAACGAAGGGGACAATCCAGTAACCAGTTCTGCTGCACAAATGTTATTTTCATGGTCTTCCACCAGTCAGAAAATATTAAAGAGTCCTGCTGGATTAGACCAAAGGGTTTGTCCAGCATTTTGTACCTAGAATGGCCAGCCAAATGCCAATAGAAGCTACAAGCATAATGCCTGTAGTCACTGACAGTCTTTTCTTCCAAACTTATCTAATCCCTTTTAAAGGCATGCAAGTTGGTGGCCCTCACTAGATCTTGTGGAAATACTGTAAGAATTTCCATAATTCAAACCATGCACTGCATGAAGTACTCACTTTCTTTTTGGCTGACCTGAATCCTTCACACCATTCAGCTTCTTTGGAGGATTTTGGTTTCTAGTATTTTGACAGAGTGGGATAAACATCTCTCTAGTCACGTTCTCTACATGATACATAATTTTATACCCCATCACGCTTCAGTCTTTTGATGGATTTTCTCTTGAATTTATAGGGATAATCATGTTAAAACCAGATAGCCCTACCATCAACATCCACACAAACACAAGTGTGCACAACACTTACAGTGTTATATTCTTCTTCAATAATCTGTAATCCTTCAGTGGATTTTGCAACCACTTTGAGTCTTCCAGGCATGCCATCCTCCAACTTTATAACCTGCAGGGACCAATCACAAGCATAGCAATTTTATCTCATCCCGGAGAGTGTTGTTCTGTCAGTCTTCACCGACAGATGTACAGTCCTTAGCCAATCACAGCATTACACTCATACACATCATATTACTCAATGTTATATAGAAAAATCTCAGACATCAGCGTTCTTCTCTCACTTAACAAGTGAAAGTACGTACCTCAATAGGAACAAACTTCTTGATGAACTTTACACCATGAGTTTCCATATAGGCACCTGCTCTCTCTGCCATTTCTTGATCAAAGCCACGAAGTAAGATAGAGCGCACCATAACTGTGACATCCAAACCTAGGCCAGCAAGAAATCCAGCACATTCCAGAGCTACGTAAGAAGCTCCCACAACCAAAGTCTTTCCAGGACAGTAGGGCAATGAGAAGAGATCATCACTGAAATATAACAATATTCATGCAAATTGTTAAGATTCAGAATCCCTTTCAATTTATTTAAGGGCACATGTATAATTTTACTTTATAAAACAGCATTCAAGCTCACCTTGTAATACAGTATTCTTTGTCTCCTGGGATACCTAAATATCGAGGTCTTTCTCCAGTGGCAATGACAAATGCCTGAGCTGTATAGAAAGTTTCTTGTCCTTTTCTGTTGGTTGCCTAAAACAGAAATAAAGTGTCATAAATAGTACTTCACAATATATTGCCAGAAATATGCCCCAAGAACTACTTACATAGTAATAAGCAGCACAGACCACAGAACTAGCTAAATCCTTTACTGTTATCCAGATAATATTTTCTAAACATTTTTCATCTTCAGTAAGATCATGGAGGGCAATACAAATAATTTGACTTCTTGTAACACTATATGAAGTAATAAAATTAATTTGAGAAATCAAATTTACCAAATTTAACCATTAATAACTTAGCCCTCTCTCTTCAAAACACATTGCATGTCAGCATATTGGAACAAATTCCATGCTGGCATAATGGGACAAACTAGATGCAAGCTCAATTAAATCCAATTTCAGCAATTTAGTCTTTAGACAACTTTATAAGCTGAGATTACCTTAACCATTCTTCAACTAAAACAAATGTTCAGATTTAACTGCTACAGAACTTCCAAGTGAATGAATTTCAGACTCTTATCCCTTCCTTCATCTTTCCATTGGCAACACACAGAGTTCCTTTTAATAGCTTCCTCTTCCTCATTTACTCATTTATTACCTCTAACCACTACATTACTTTAAAAACAAAAGAGAGGTACTAGAAATAAGAGTTCAAGATAAAGCATGTGATACACAACAATAACAAAATATTCAGATATTTGCATGTTCTGTCAGATGACAGTTTTTATTTGTGCCACATAGTATCATTTGAATTTTCTTTAAATCCAAGTGCAATTCTAAATTAATGCTATGGTCATAATTACTCACAATGTGCACAATTAAGTAGCATGATATAACATTAGCTGGGATATATAAATTACTACAAATCAACTAAGAATTGTGTCACTTTAAAAGCTAACAAATTTATTCTGGTATACGTTTTCTTTGACAACGTCCACAGAAGATTAGGCCAAAACAAAATTTTAAAGATACCATAAGACTCTTTGACATTTTTGTTGCAATGTGGCTTCCCCTTAGGAAATTAATACAAGTGGCAAGCTTAAGTTCCTTAGCTGACTTATTTTTATATGGCTAAATAGTTGGCCCAGTTAACTGGTTATAACTATTATCAATATCTAAAATAGTTATACAAGAGAGCCAAGTTCATCCATAAGTGATCATAATTATATATCCATTATGCTATTTGTGCAAGATCTTTGAGTGAAACGACAGCTTGCAGCTGCAACACATTAAGTTAAAGAGAACTTTCTGACATCATTTTGAACCATTTAATAGTTTTTTTTTCATTCATAGTACTTAATAATATAAGTGATACATTTGGAAAGGCCAAAAGTTAATGAGTGCAAATCCTGCAGGTACCTTGATCTTGTGGGACCCAACAAACTCCCCATAGGCATTGAGGTATGTAACAGTCTTCTCACGCAAGGCTACCCGATAACCCCAGTTCAAGGATCCTATATGATTTTGAATTGCTTCAACCATGGTCTCCCAGTTGTGTTTAACTAAAGAGAAAAAGAATCACATGTAAAACTGTTTGTCAAATCCAAAGCTTGTAATAATTGAACAATATTACAATTACAGAACAAACTCAGGCAGAATTTTGCATATCTCACATTGCTGATAAAGATTTGTACATTATTTGCAATAAAGTATCGAGGCGTGCAGCCCGGTATGTAAACAATCCACACATTCTAGAGCAATAAAACCAAAGTCCTTTAATGCTAATTGTCTACAAGATTTACAACTCTATAGATAAGTTCTCTAATAGCGGTCCTAGCTAAGCAGATGTTAACTCTCTAATGGCTTCTCTTCCCAAGCCCACGTGGGATCATTCTCCCAAGTCACGCCTTTCCTCCTTCTTATGTAATAAATTTTGCCGCTGTTCATATCTGCGTAAAATACGTCTGTTCTGGGCTCTTGAGAAATCCACAACACCTATTGTGTCTTCTGTTTCTGGCTCAGGGAGACCAGCATCAGAGGGGGAAGAGGCAGTTTGCTCTGCCTCCTTCTGAGTAGAACTTGCAGCTTCCTCTTTCTCATGACTCTCTGTCTCTGATAAAGGTCCAGGCATTTGCTCAACGTGCTGGGGGTCAGAGGAAGATGCAGCAGCTGGCTCAGCTGTCCCTGCACTGGGTTGTGGGGTTGACTCTTGGGCACTGGGTGTCAAGTGCAAGGTCTCCTCATGAGTCACTGTTTCTGTCGGGGTTTCATGCATGACATAAGAGAAGTTTGCCTAAACTGAGACCTTTTTTTTAAAAGGGGAGTCTACAACTCCTGAATTTCATTAAAGGAGACAAAAAGATTATGCCAACCAAGCATCTGACTAGGATGTCAAGGTTACACAACCTACTTTGGAGGTTTGGGGAGAAAGGAAAACAATGCCACAAATTCTTTATGTTCCCCATTACAACACCGCCCCCCCACCAAAAAAAAAAAAAAACCTTTAGCTAATTTTTCATCAGTTACAGGGCTTTTCCCCCCAATCACCAAAACGCACTGCATTATCTTTTTACAAACCTTGCTGATCATACTCCCAGCCAAACTTCCTTGAGTCTTGCAATGCCTGGCCTAAAAGGGCTGCCTGATGCATCAGTTTCTTAGGAATGCAACCAACATTTACACAAGTGCCACCAAGTCCTGAAATGCAAAGTTTAAATGTAATTAAGAACTAACAATATATATACATTTTGTTTGAACAATAAAACACATTTAAATTAATAATTAGTGCCCTGCTGCATGCATGAGCAACATTCTGAACACTTACTGTATGACAAGTAACATTTTATCATGCACCATTACAACTGAGTAAGACTCAACTATTTAGGGTAGTTTCGATCCTGCACTTTAACATTTTTCCTGACCTGTGCAATTATTTCCTTCCAGAGGAACAGAATATACTAACTTTTGTTACTAACAGACCTTGATGCAACACATGGGAAGGGAACAGATTTGCCTAAGTAATACCATTAGGGCATCTCTTTTAACATATGATATAATCTATTTGGCAGTGGAATAGTCTACCTCAGAAGGTGGTGGACTGTCCCATCTCAGAGTTTTTTCTAAAGTATGTAGCCATCCAGCCTCTATGAGAAATCCTGCTGTAACAGATTTTCCTGCTCTGGCAGGGGGTGGATAAGATTACCTTCCAACTATGATCCTGGCCTTCCAACTCTTTATCAGAGGTAAGCAACATTATGCTTATAGACACCAGTGAAACCTAGGCCACCTTTCTTAGTATCTGCAGAAGTGCCCTACTGCTCCTACTTTTAATTTTCTAAAAATATTGACAACTAGCATTTCTTACTGGCAACAGGTTTCCTTTTTAAGCAAAATCAGGACCTCTAGTTGTTTTCCCTTCTTTTCCAATGAATGCCTCTGGCCTACATGTAGAATTCAGAGACATTCTTCAGAAATGAATGTGGCAAGTCGCTGCAGGTTGATTTCATCTACAGTGTGCTCACTTTGGGATGGCACCAAAGGTGGTTTTTTAAATTGCTCATAAGCCTATAAAGGTTGCCAGCCCTGCACACACACACACACACACGGTGTGTGTAGGGGGAGAACGGGAATGCTTGGGTGGGAGAATGGAGAATCCCAGAAGTGCAGCTCCAGAATTGATCTTAAATCTAATGTGCACATTACTCACTACTGGATTAGAAAAACCAGAAATCTGTTGTTAAAAGATGATTTTATTCTATTGCTATATAAGAAGAAACCAAGTGTGTTCACATCTGAGGCATTTATGAAGTAACAAGTAACCTATGACCATAATTCTGCCATGTCCCAGTGCACTGCACACATGCAGCTGCCTGGCAGTAGTGACTTTCCAGTGCTTTCAGCACTGAGCATTTCTTTGAAACAGACATTTTGAAATAGAAATCTTTCTACAAACTCTCATATTTCTGCTAAAATTGTTCAGTGGTGGTATGGTAATGTATTTGTGCCTTAAACAAAACTGAAGAATACAGAAGAAGAAATAAAAGGAGACAGATAAAAGTTCTGATCATTCAGAACCACTGCACTCTGAATGATGCATTTTTAAAAATTATTATACTGTAGTTGTGACCTTAAGAGGAACTAAACTATGAGAAAGCTAAAGAGAGACTAAGAGAAAATGAAACTATGGCCTTATATTTACAATACTGTAGTGAAGGAGTTACAATAAAGATCAGCATGGTTATGTACCAGAAGGCCTGTTTGACAGAACAATTTTTTTTAAAAAAAATTAGACTCTGAAGACAGTTGAAATTATTAATATGGAAACCACCACATTGAGCAATATTAATTTCACACAAGTATCTTTCCAAAATTTGGCCACAAACAGTAAGACATTTGAACAAACAGCACCAAGAAGCTACTCAGCAGCAACACTGAAATTTGTTCAGGTACAAAACATACCCCATGTAGTACCCAGTGGTGTTGGTACAACATAATCTAGCACCATCACCTTCTTCCCTAAGGTGGCAGCTTCCTGTAAAGACCAAGTAACATGGATGTAAGTAAAACCATGTCTTTTAAGAAAGTATTTTACTAGTTCAATCAAAAGTGTATCATTCCTCAAGAGGTAGTAAATAGTTACCATTTGTATCACAGACAAGGGCAGTTACTGACTGAAATGCAAAGTTACACTCACATTTCTCCCGCAATAATTTAGCATACTCTAGCACAGACCTGGGCATTGTATGGCCCGCGGGCCACATCTGGCCCGATGGCTGACCCTGACTGGCCTGCATGAGGTCACTGGCAAATTAAAAGTCAATGCAAATATATATCGTCGTAATATAGATGCAAGCAATACAACTGCACTGCTTTTATTTTGAAGGATCTGCTAAATTGAATTGAATTTATTGCTTTTCGTGTAATATTAATATTAATGTTTTTGTGAATATTCATTAAATAGTGTTGTTCTGTGCTCCACATTTTCATTGTATCATTGTAATGTTTCATTTACTGTTTTTACAGAGATATATACAGCAGATCTGTAAGTGTATTGGTCCGGCCCTTAACAACTGTCAAAGTTTCTCATGTGGCCCCACAGGAAAATTAAGTGCCCACCCCTGCTCTAGCATCTTGCTTTTTGCCCTGGACAAATACAGCTTTTAACATGCCCTATTTGTTTAATTCTTGATATGTTCTACTGCATCCTAGTAAGCTGTTTCATTCACCTCATTACCAGGTACATCACCTACTCATTCTACTACCTCTCCATACCATGCAAGAATTTCATACACATGTAAACACACCTGATTTTCATGGCCATGTAGAACATAATGCACGATTGGAACAAAAATTTCCAAGGATTCTTTTTGCAGAAAAAAAGCTTCTCTAATTTGCAACAAAGCTCCCAAAGTCAAAGACACCCCTTAAATTCAATAAATGAATTTATACATTATATGAAGTAAAGGTATGTGCTATAAGTGCCAAGACACACTTTTGGATGCAGGTGGGGAGAAATCTAGGTCCTACGTACAATTTCCTTTTATTTTACATGGTAAACAAAAATAACTCACTATTCCTTAGCTGCTGGAAGAGAACTTAATACTCTGACAGCACAAGTCTCTGCTTGTCTGCTCAGAGTTAAAGTCCACCTGGCAAAAATACTCCCAGGTAAATGTTTATGAATGCAACCTGTAGTTCTCAGAAGCAACATCATTTGGACAAAAGATTTAAGCAAACTGCTTCATACTGTTCTATTCTAAAAATTTGAAAATATTTCAAAGGGCAAATGCTATTTTAGGATGCATTAACAGAAGTATTACTTCCAAATAATGAGAAGGAGTAGTTCCTCTACACTCCTCACTAGTCAGACCTCACCTGGAATACTGTGTCCAGTTCTGGGCACCAAGATTTAAGAAAGATGCAGGTAAATCAGAAAGGGTCCAGAGGAAGGCAAACATAAAAAAAAAGATCCAGGGTTTGGAAACACTGCCCTATGAGGAGCGACTGAGAGAACTGGGCATGTTCAGCCTTGAGAAGAGAAGACTGAGGGAGGACATGTTATCCCTTTATAAGCACCTCAAAGGCTGTCACAGGAAGGTCAAGATCTCTTCTTACTGATGTGAGTGTAGGACACAGAATAATCAATTCAAGTTGTGACAACCCACATTCAGGCTGGATATCAGGAAAAGCTTCCCCAGTGTCAGAGCAATACAACAGTGGAACCAGCTGCCTAGAGAGGTGGTGGGCTCTCCCATACTAGAGACATTCTAGAGAAAGGTAGCCATCTGAGTGGGATGGTATAATGTGGTGTCCTGCAATAGCTGGGGGTTGGACTCGATGGACTTTATGGTCCCTTCCAACCCCACTGTTCTATGATTCTAAAGACTAAATATCATACTAAATATCATATTCCTACTACTTATTGTGAGCCGCCCCAAGGCTTCGGCGAATGGGGCAGCATAAAAGACTTCCAAATAAATAAATAAATAAATAAATAAAATTGCAGAGTTCATACCTTAGAACATGCAAGTCCACCAGAACCTCCACCAATAACAATTAGATCATAATCATAGGCTTCCGTCTCTTCACCTTTGCCATCCCCTAAAAGCTTTTGCAATAATCCACTATGGTAAGCCTGTGGTACAGATAAAAGTTAAATAAAAAAACAGAATACTGAAGTAGTCTTTCAAAGGCAAGTTCGTGAGATTAGACAATGCAACATCTGTTCATAGAAGACTCTTTGATTCAGCAGAGACTTTTGTGAATGGAAGCAACTTTTACAGGTTCCCCCATCTTCCTGCACTCCCTTGCACCTCTACAAATTCGTCTGAGGGACTGATGATCCTCCAGAACTTGACAGCAGCACAGGAGTTTAGAATGAAAAGTCAGGATTCATGAAAATTGCTTTCTTCTTCTTTTCATTCACAGAAGCCCAATTCACAGTAGCTACAAGTGCCTAAGTGTAAAGGCAGCACATGGAACAATCTATTAAATATTTAACATCACAGTTGATTTTACCCATTTAAGATGCAGGTTATCTGATAGATACTTTCTGCATCCCACTGCTTGATTAAGTTCTAAAAGAACTCAGCTGAGTACTATTGCAGGTAGCACCACAATTCTATGCATTTTAACTTGAGAATATTATCTCACTCAACTCAGCAGACTTATTTCAAATCAAACATACTTAGAATTTGTCTGCACAGTTTTAAAAACAAACTTGAGGGGTGATACTAGGAAATACAGATATTCCATTCTCAATTTCAACCTCACCCAGTTAAACACACCCCACAAGGATGAACACGAGTTGTTTGGGTCACATACATGCATGTGTACACTTACACAAGACAAGATACATAACCAAGTTATGGCAGTTCGTGACTATATTGCATAACCAACGGTTGTGAAACTAGAATTGACTGAAGAAACTAGTTACAAAACTCTTATTATAATTAATGTTCATGCGAAAAAGGGAGGAAGTTCAAAATTACCTGAAATGTTTGATCACATCCACCCACATGTGTTCCATTTACAAAAACATTAGGGACAGTTCTCTGGCCAGTCAATTCGAGTAATACTTCCTGAATACTGGGTCCTTCATCTAGAGACAACAAAGATATATATTTACAATGGTAGAAATTCACTGAGTTACTATTCAGAAAAAAGTAAAGAACTTTAGCAATCTGATCAGATCTGCTTTATATATGGTACATTAGTAAGCAGTTTTTACACATTTCCTGAGGTAATAGTCTTCCGGTTAAAACGGAAATGTCAAGGTTCATGAGGAAATTCACAGATGTGCACTGATACATATAAAGCCCAATTATAAGAGCTTAGCAAAATACATCAGGAAAAGACTCCTTCATGTTTTCTACAATCTGACCTAACATTAAAACTCAGGTTTGCATACTCTCTCTACCATACAGGTACAAGAGGGCATCTGTAGCTTTCACTTTAGATCAACTGCAGTTTGGTATGCCATCCAAGCCCTACATTGTATTTAATCTTAAACTGAAATCAGGCAATCCTAATAAGTATTGTTTGATACTGCCTTGTTTCCATTAATCATTGTTAAAATTAATAATAGTTTATAGACGACACAGCAAGCGGCAGTTAATCCAAAATACACATTAACACTACCAAACTTCTTCTTGCAGCCAGGCTCAAACAGGAAGCATATAAACCCAATGCTTACTCCATCTGTATTCTTCATATTAGATTACATGGTTTAGTATAAGTCCAAATCAACCTCATATGTAAGAGTCTACCATTTTTAGAAGCATTTAAAAAAAACCAAAATTACTTGCAGCACAGGTCTAACAAGCACCCAGAGATTTTGTAAAAATAGTATTTGTAATACAAGCTATCTTGCAAAGATAATTAGTCAAAAAGGACTGTGCAGAAGCAATATCTTTTGCTCAGCACAAAACCAATATAAAACCTTTTGGGCAGAAGTTAAAAGAACAACACACAGCAGTGCAATTAAAGACTGATAAAAATGTTGTTGTATAGAACTCAAAGTTTGAGATGTATAGATCAAAGTCAAAGGGTTTTGTCAAGCCTCATCACTGCATCAGGAATATATATATATATATATATATATAAAACAAGATACTACTTATCCCAACAGCCTGCTTCTCAATTCCAATGCATATAAAGGTCTCACTTGAAACAGTAATGCTAGTCCTTTCCTTCTCAACATAACACTCTTTAAGCTTCTAGCCTACCTTTAGATGCAAAATGAATTAAAACACCTCATAAATATGAAGTTACAAAATGAAAGCTTGAACTATAGTATAGAAAATATAGCCTATAAAAATTCATGGTTGCTTTATGTGAAATGGAGTATATCCAAAAATATTTTCTACTTTGAGTATTACTGTCACTTCCTTTAACATACTGAAAATATTCACGGAGAGGAAAGTGAACCAAAATGTAGTACAATGTACTTTGAAGCAAGCCAAATTATTATTTTTTGAACATTTGATATATTGCTTAAGGCTAACACAATCCAAGATTAGCATATGTTGCTCTATTATTCTGACTGTTCAACATAAAAAAGAATGAAAGGGAAGCCATTAATTTGGTCAGCTTATATTGATGAAAGGATAGACCTTGTCTACTTACCTTTATGCATTCAAGACTGCAATTTTACAGTTTCTGTTTTCTACTGAGTAAACCTACAAACAATAGTACTGTAGAATGCTTATATATTTCCAGTAAACTAAACCAATTCAGTAAGAATAAACTAAAGTAATATGGATGGGCAATACCTTCTAAAACGAATTTCCAAAATTGATCAGCACTAGTTTAAAGTACTTGCCAGGATACATAAAATTTATTTTCCTAGCTTAACACTAGGTTAGATTAGAATTCTGTATTCTTGCCTATAACTAAGCAACCACTTGAGGTCTATGTGAGATCAATTGTTAGTAAGTTATCAAGCAAATACGAGAAAACAAGTGTTTGGAAAAAGGTCATCTGCACAGTCATTTGGGATAGAAGCAGGTTCACAGAGCAAGCACAGTCATTCGCAATTGTATTGCAAAACTTATTTCTCAATGCACAAAATAGGGTTGCCAAAATCCAAGAAAGCAACAAAAAATTTTTGCATACTTTTTGAGAGCTATTCTTTCAACACACAATTAAAAGTTAACAGTTAAAAGAAGTCTTTACTCAATACAGTATTAGCAGGAACATACATTTCTTCTACATAGGTGGGATTTTACTTCGTTGTCCACTTTACTTACCAATCTTGTCAAGCTCCAAAGCACTGTATTCCACTCCCAACGAATGAAAAAGATCTTTCACCTGAAAGAAAAATTTCTGATAAAACTAAAAGTATGATAATAATACTTTTATTTTACTTTTATTGTTTCTGGAAGAATAGTGCATTTTATTTCTTCTAGAATAGTAGTAATCCACAGGCAAAGAATAAATTCTGGCTACTCTTTAAAGTGCACAGAAGATTGATCGTTTAATTTTCTGTCACTTAAACATTCTGGAAACACTGGCTGCACAAATTTAGCAGGACAGATTCCATAAATATTTTGCTTGGATTTATGTGAATTATTTTAATGAATTATGCCATTAAGCAGGTGATTAAATCTATTGAGAGCCAGTGTAGTTGGCATGTTGGAGTGGAATCCAAGATGAATGGATTCTGTCCCTACTAGGCCACAATGTTCACTGACTGACTTTGAGCAAGTCATAAACTCTCAGCCTAACCATACTCACAGGGTTGTTGTAGGGATAAAATTGAGAAGAGGAGAAAGATTATTGAAGCTTCCTTGAATTCCTTGAAGGAAAAAGGCAGGATATAGTCAAAGGTTGAATAACAGTCACTTTCTGAAAAAAGCTCAAGAATGCCATGAACACCATTGGGCTGACTCTGGATTATTTAACCCTTAAACAACCCAGAGTTCTGGCTTTGAATGCCAAAATATGCTTCATTCTTGGGTTGTTTTAGGAGGTGGTGAGAAGGCGAGAGACTCACACCCATGCAGCCACATAAATCCTTAATTGTTTAGCTTAAGAAATGGCTGTTGTATATGAAATAAATAAATAAATAAATAAAGGTCAACTAGGCTTATTTCTGAAGGCATACGCTTGGGGAGGGGTGCTTTACGAACATAAATATACATCATGTATAATTTGGTCTGTTCATAATATTGTCATCAAAATTAAAACTTTTTAAAAGCAACTCAATAAATTGGTAATTTGTCTGAGTAAACTTTACTTGTACATTTATTATACAAAACATGGCAATTTTATGAGCAAATCAAGTTATACATAATATATTCTAGGTTCCTATTTTGTGGCTGGCCAGGGGAAGTTCATTAAATATCCCTCAAAACATTTAAATCATCCTAGCAGTCAGAAGAAGCAGGAAGAATTAGAGATAGAAGACTGGAGTAAAGTATCTGTTCCTGTTAGAATGTTTTGGGGAATTCCTAAGCATTTTCCATACCTAAGTCATAGAAACCAGGCTACTGAGTTTCTTTTAGATAGGGAAGATTTTTTCTAGTAGTGACATTTAATGGTTTTATAGCTGAGGCTGCATTCTCTAGCAGTGAGGTCTAATTAAGAACTTGGTTAAAAACTGTGGCAGTGAGTTCCATAGCCTCTAAGTTGATAAACCAAAAACAAAGGTGAAATAGCCCACATTGGCTACAGCTTAAGGTAGCAGTTATATGCAAAGAAATCTTGACATAAACCACAATGTTTAAAAGATGTCTTCTGCAGCTCTGATCAACACATCATGTACCATTAGTGGTACTTTGCGCAGAAGTCTGTCAGTCGGCAAATTAGGTTCAATATTCATGATCAAGCAACAGTTAATCCAGCTTCATTTTATATTTTCTTGCAGCTGGGCAGCCATCTGAGATGAATGGTTTAACCTGGAGTCCTGCACTAAGCCAGGGGGTTGGACTGGATGGCCGTCTTGGCCTCTTCCAACTCTACTATTCTATGATTTTATGAATTCAGCATAGATATTGGTTTTTCAAACCACAGCAATATGTTAATGTTACATAGCAAAGCAGAAATCTAGCAAATGCTCTGGCAGAAGAGCTGCCTATACCAGCTATAGTCCACTAATTTCACAAAGTTGTAAATGTACATGGGTAGATTTCAAAAGGGAAAAAGGAAACTATCTTCTTTAACCTGATAAAATATCTAGAATACTCATCTGCTGCTGGCTTCCATATAGCCTGGAATGCCTGACACTGCCTAATCATGAAAACTAAACAGGGCTGAGCCTGGCTGAAATCTGGACTTAAATGATGTGAACTCCCAGAGAGCTTTGGCTATGTGTAGTATAGAATGCAGTGCAATAATGATTATAATGACAATGAACCACAATGGGTTGTCATGACCCAATATCTAGATCTAAAGAGAAACTTCTGAATTGATAGCTTTGGTAATTCAAAAGACAAACAACCAAAAATGAAGGTGGCTGAGATTGTCTGAGTGTAATTAAAAAAGCCAAATCCAGTTTATTTTGCTTGGCCCTATAAAAATCTTCACTATGTCTGGGTGTGAAAGCTAGACTGTGAAAAGAGTTGACAGGAAGAAAACTGATGCATTCCAGGTTAGAGTCAGTGCAGCATAGGGCTACAAGGATGGTGTCTGGATTGCAGGGAAAGCTGTACGAGGCAAGACTGAGGGAACTGGGCCTTTTCAGCCTGGAGAAGAGGAGACTCCAGGGGGATCTGTTGGCAACATATAGGTACGTGAGGGGGTATCACACAGAGGTGGGTAGAGATCTGTTCTCCCCTGCAGAGGAAGGCACAACACGCTCCAACTGAGCCAATCTCAAGGAACCAGGATTCAATTTGGGTGCCAGGAAGTACTTCCTGACAGTTAGGATCCCAAGGGTATCGAATGGGCTTCAATGGGAGGTGGTTGAAGCCCCATTGGTGAGGGTGTTCAAGGATGAGCTGGATATGCACATGGTAGCTGGAGCTGAGGGTCAGACTAGATGGCCCCGGAGATCCCCTCTGACTCACTCTCTATGTTTCTATGCTGCTCATGAGCCATCAGTATATAGTTTATTGTTATGCTCTTAGCATTAGTTATCCCATTTATTTATTTTTCTATCTATCCAACTTGTTTTGTTATTCAAACTGCATATTATCATAGACACACCATATGAAATCCAAATTATTCATGGCTTTTATTCATGCATATCATCCAATATGATACATATGCTTGCTCTTTCCCTGTATTCAAGTATTCATCACCATACCATTGCAGAAAGATGGAGCTTGAGTAATTACATTTTTTCATTCACTAGTGAAATACAGTGCCAGATTCAGGAGGTCTGTATAGAATAGGTTGTTTTCAACTCTTACTCATTTGCAATAGGGAAATTTTGTGGTTATCCTCATAACTGGGCAGAATACAGAAAGCTGGAGTGAAAGTACAACAGTGCAGAACAGCTACAGGAGACAACAAAAATAACCTGAATAGGCTCAAGGGAACTGCTTCCATGCCATGATGGACACTGTCATGTTAGACAACCATACTCTATTTTTGAAGCAAGTCCTATTTATTGAGTGGAGCCGGCTGGAGCCAGGGGTCAGATTAGATGGCCCAGGAGACTCCTTCTGACTTGCTCTGTTTCTATGTTATTAGATTTATATCCCACTCTTTTAGCCAAAAGGGTTCTCTTCCAGTACTTGTGCAGATTTACCTAAAAATACAACTTCCATACAAAAATGGGGGAATCAACTGAGTTGGGGAAACCCAAATGTTTGCAGAGGTGTAAATATATACAATTCTTTCACTCCTATGGAACATAATCCTCCACTAAACAGCCCAGTGAGAACTCAGGAGAACAGATTCTTGAGCACCTGAAGGGAAAATAAACTGGAAAAAGGGTGGAAGGAGGAAATGAAAAGGAACACATAGTGAAAGAGGATGGAAGAAGAGATACAGATAGAAGATATGTAAAAAGAAAGCCATGTCATTGTCAGGATAGGTCATTTACCAGTTCACCCAGAGAAGTTATTTTTAAACATTCCTAGAGGGAGAAATGAGAGTTGTCTATGCAAATCAATCCAATATTGCAATACAGCCAAGACTGAAGAACAAGTGTCTACCTAAAAACAAACAAACAAAAAAGTGAAGTACACACTTGTAGGTATCTCCCAACAGTCCAGTATGTTCAATGGTCATAGAATGCGAACATATGGCAGGGGGGAGAAGAAAAGCAGAGTGAGGGACCGAATGAATGGAGCAGCTGAAAGTACCACACACTACAATCTTTTGCTGCTGGGACCTATTTGTAAGTATCTAACAGAGAATTTCATCCCATTTGTTGGTAAAGTAATCAATACATTAAAACAAAACCATTTATACACTACTGATGTGGCCAGTCTGTCTGTCTCTGAATTTGGTTAACATTCAGGCAACAGGTTAACATTCAGTGTGACAGCAGAACATCATTTTGTGTGCTGTGTACAGTACAAACTTACCAAAAAGACATGGCCTGCAGATGGTGATGATCTGCTTAATATCAAAGAGCTACAACCATGGTAAACTTGTAATTCAAGAGGGTTTAACATCAGAGTATTAAATTAAATAATGTAAATCATTACTTCAATCTCCACTTTAACGGAACCATCTTTTATCATAGGTTATCTCTGTGAATCCAAGGCAGAACATCTGCCACACCCACAGCTCTACTGGCTTACTCTAGCTAGAGCAGGAGAAAGGGACAGGGAGCATTTTGCTTTTCCTCTAAGCAGGGTAGGCATAATGTGAAGGACTTTTTCTGAGTATGCAAGGGGAACAAGAGCAAGCTGAGCCTTCCACAGATGGTGTCTATGTCATCCTGCAAACAGATTTCTCTCCCTCCACTTCTAGAGACCCTTCAACCACTCTTCAGGTTTGATCTCTTAAACAGTTTAAATCAAGTTTCTCATAATCCAGCCTTAGCCAGCCAGATCACAATCCTTTTGTGTTAATGTAATTAAATGGTTTAGATGCAACAAAACCCAGCTTATGTGAATTACCACTGAACCTTTTTATGAGGCTTCGGCAAGGGGCGGCATAGAAATGTTATAATAATAATAATAATAATAATAATTCAAAGATACAATTAATGAAAAAGAAACACATCAACTGGCAATACAGTGCATTTTGCAAGGGTCAAATAGTCTCTTCCTTCAATAGAAGGATGGCAGAATGAACTAATTACTAATACATAGTGGCATTTTAAAAGCTGGGAGGACCCCTTGAAAAAGCACTATTCATTTTTTAGATACTGAAATAGAAACGACTACAGTGGTACTTCAGCTCACAAA